TCTTTCTCTCTTCCTTCCTCTCTGAAATCAATAAAAAATATACATATCTATTTTTTTAAAGCCTGCAATACCTATTTAGTTAGGAGCACTGACCTCTTTTCCCTTAGATTGTCAAATAAAAAATTACAACAGCCAATACCACAATAGCTGTCCAGTCTGAATGAATCAAAATTATACCTATTTTTTTTTTTGCTAGATCAACCAAAAATATAATATGTCACTTGGTGTGCTGCAGAATTTTAGTACTTAGTCTATGTGTGCCATGAGATGGACAAGGTTGACAGCTGCTGCCTTCGAGGTTAGTCACAGGGATAAGGCCACCATCCAAAGGCAGTAGCAGGAGGGTAGCCAGATTGGCCAGATGTTTAACTATGCCCTTTTAAAGGTGATTTAGGTTTGAGAAACTCAAGGCCTTCTGGGCACCCTCCTAATGTCACTGAGAAACCAAAGGTAGTTTCCCATTTTTCTCAACGCAGAACAGTAAATATTACACAAGTCTACAGACAAATTCGGATTGCACTGAGAGAGACAGCAACTTCTCCCAGGGGAGCTCTGAGCACCAGGGGAAAAAACAACGCCCCATGTTTGGTTTGTAGTGTCAGCCCTGCAAGAACACAATGAACCCTGCAGGACTTGGGGCTTTCTCCTGCTCAGCCAGAGATACCTGCAAGGCCGAGCAGCCGGCCACAGGCCGCGGACAGAGACGGCTCCCTCAGCCCACCAGAGCTCAGGAGGTTCTGAGGGCCAGTTCTACACACACACACACACACACACACACACACACGCACGGCCAGGCCATATTGCACAGTGACCGAGAACTCTCCTTCTAGAGAACAGGGTCGCTCCTTGACTCAACCAGAGCAGAGAGGAGTGGGAGGTAGAGAGAAGTGTTGTGCTTTAAAAAGAAGCAGTAACACAGGACCTGGAGCTCCCTGAGCTTCTGTGCCAGCTCTCAGAGGGATAATGGCAGCAGCATTAGGACTTGGATGTGGTTCCAAAAAGGAGGGTTTGGGCCTAAAAAAAAAAAAAGTACCCAGTGGATGGATACTCTGTGGGTCCTAAAATTCTATTGTAAATCACTCCCAGTTACTGGCCACATTTGCACACAGAGTTGCAAATCGCAAAGCAAAGGCTTTGTGCAGAGTACCCTTCCATCGCAGCCCGAGAACCTCCAACCGCTTACAGCCCTGACCCCCAAAACCAAAAGCTTTAGATTCCTGGCTGGGAAGCAATATCAACAGGCCCCTTAGGATAGAATTAGAAACACGTGATGATTTGAAGAAAAACTGCTTAGGACAGAAGAACTCACTCTATGGCCAGGATCTCATTGGAAAAATCAAAGTGAAGATTAGGCAACAGGAGCTAAGTCCAGGCTTGAGCGCCCGTTTCTATTGATTTCAGAGAGGAAGGGAAAGAGAGTGGGAGAGAGAAACATCAATGATGAAAGAGAATCATTGATTAGCTGCCTCCTGCACACACCCCACTGGGGATCAAGCCAGCAACCCAGGCATGTGCCCTGACCAGAGTTGAACCTTGGACCCTTCAGTCTGCAGGCCTATGCTCTATCCACTGAGCCAAACCGGTCGGGGCCCTCTCACATCTTCTCGAGGTGCTGGCCAAGCTTTTCCCACCTCACTCGGTCGGGCCCAGCCTTAACCGCTCCCCCCTCCCATAGGCAGACACTGGCTTCCAGATTGAAGATACAGCTCTCTCCAAAGGCACCTGGGAGGTCGCTTCCAAGCAGCACCTTAAAGAACTTTTTTCTTTTAAAAATCTTTAGGTTTCTTTTTTCCCCTTTTCTTTTCTTTTTAAATATATTTTTATTGATTTTTTACAGAGAGGAAGGGAGAGGGATAGAGAGTCAGAAACATCGATGAGAAACACCGAGCAGCTGCCTCCCGCACACCCCCCACTGGGGATGCGCGGCACATGCCCTCGACCAGAATCGAACCTGGCACCCCTCAGTCCGCAGGCCAACGCTCCATCCACTGAGCCAAGCCGGTCAGGGCTCCCCTTTTCTTAAAAAAAAACAAACACCTCTATCTCTCTATCTCTCTATCTCTACCTCTGTCTCTGTCTCTATCTCTATCCCTATCTCTATCTCCATGTTTATAGTCCTAGCCAGTTTGGCTCAATGGATAGAGCTTTGGCTCACAGACTGAAGAGTTCTGGGTTTGATTCTGGTCAAGGGGACGTACCTCGGTTGCAGGCTCGATACCTGGCCCTGGTTGGGGCACATGCAGGAGACAACCAATCGATGTGTCTCTCTCACATTGATGCTTCTCTCTCTCTGTCTCTCCCCCTCCCTTCCACTCTCTCTAAAAATCAATGGAAAAATATCCTCAGGTGAGGATTAACAACAACAAATATTAGATAGATAGATAGATAGATAGATAGATATAGATATAGATATAGATATATCAATATTGATATATGAATAGCTCTTCATTTAAAGTACAGTTCCCCAGGTTGAGGTATGCTGTGGCCTGGCCTGCTGTCACGGCAGGAGGGTACAGCGGATGGGGTGGGGCTGGCAGGGCAGCTCCCTGGAGAGGCCATCCTGTAGTTCTTGCAGGGGCTGCTCCCAGCATCATTTGGTTCTTGCAGGTGAGGAACCCCTAGGAGGCGATCAGCAGGGCCTCCTCCTACAGGACGCAGATGAGCCATCCTCCCACCTTCGGTAGGACACCTCACAGGTGCTCACCCACAGGGCCAGCTCTCGGGGCAGCAGCCGGGCAGCCGGGGCTGGCTGAGTCCGATCTGGCTGCCATCTTGCTGATGATGGGGGACCGCATCTTGTGGGTGATGTGGGTGCAGCGGTAGCCAGAGCCCTTGGACAGCTTCTTGGAAAACCAGTACTCTCTGTAGTGCTTAGTGCCTCCTGGAGAGCCCCGCCGAACACCTTCAGCCTCTGCTCGCTCAGGCAGCCCCGGTCCTCAGGAGGCTGGAGAGGAAGCCTGTGGGGTGATCCCTGGGAGCATGTTTGTCCTCTTCCGGGTCCAGCTGGCCTGACTCCGATCGTGCGAGGCTCAGGCACCGGTGCCGCAGCCAGGAGCAGTGAGAGTTTCTGGGGGTCCTACCGCTCTGCAGGGAGCACTTGCTCAGGGCTCTTCACTTTTGCCGTTTAAAGCGCCTGCATCTTCCCCCATCCCATCCCTTTCCCTGCTCTCCAAGATAACCCCCACCCTGAATTAACCATTATCATTCTCTTACTTTTCTTTATAATTTGACCATCTCTGTTTTTATCTCCAAACAGTATATTTCATGAGTTTTGCAAGTTCATGAACTTCATATAAATAGAATTGTCCTATATTTTCCCAAGGTTTGCTTTTTCACTGAGCATTTTCATTGCTATAGTTTCCATCTTATGGATTGAGGGCATATATCATAACTGGTGGCCCAACATTTGGAGTTTTGCAGTTTGAACTCTGAGGCTGCTTCTAATCTAGAGCATGGCTCTAGTCCTTAGTTTTGAAAACTGCCTGCAGAACGAAGTCTTTCTGTGCTGTTTGATTTCTGTTGAGAAGTAACCCAAAAGCTTTTGTTCTACAAGTAGAACACTGACAAATGCCTAAACTTCGGTTACCCATTGTTCTTGTATCACAGCCCCACTTGCTGAGCCCGGAGTCGGCCACTGTTGAAAGTCCAGTTGCCTCCACCAATTGAGAAATGATGTAAGTTTATGGTCTTGTTTCTCCTAAAACCCATCTCTTTGATGATCAGCTGCTAGCAGCTTGTATCTTTTAAAAGCTCTGTTCTCCTCCTCCCACCTCAGAGCGTGTCTTTGGTTCATACCTAGGGCTATGTTGTCTGATTTGCAAATCACATAGGAATAAAACTCTCTTAATTTCTTCTGGAACTTTTGTTAACAGAGTCAACCAAAAACATATTCCACTTTTGATGGACATAGAGCTGTTCCCAGTGTTTTGCTAGTTACAGGCAGTGTTGTTATGAATATTCTGTGCATGTATTCCCATGGTGCGTGTCAGTGAGCTCTCCTGAGGTTTTTGTGAGAGGCTAGGCCGGTCACAGGGAATGCATAGCTTCAGCTTCACCAGATGATGCCCAGTTGTTTTCCAACGTGCAAGTAATTGCAGTTTGCAGTCCCAACAGGAGTGTTTCTGTTTGTTAGATACCTTCACCAATACTTGATGTTCACTTATTTATTTTGCAAATCATTAAAATAGTACGTCATTGTGGTTTAAAGTGTAGCTTAATTTGCATTCCTAGGGTTTCTAATGATATTGAACATCATGCTATATGTTTATTGGCCATTTCCATTCCCTCTTTTGAAAAGTGCCTATTCTAGTCATTTGCCCTGTGTTTCTTCTATTGATTTATCTTTTTCTCATTGATTTCTAGTTCTTTATATGTCCTGGGCATTCATCCTTTGACAATTTAACAGATCCTTTGTTAAGCATGAATATGTCTGTCTCATCTCTCTAGCTAGATTATTAACCCTGGGGGATAGTGGAGGGTACAGAAAATAAATTAGACCAATAAGAATCCTGGCGAATTATAACTCCCCATTTCCCGCACAGCTCTTTTCACATTTACGAGCCCTTCATTAAAGTCAAGGGTTTTCAATCGCTGGCCTGGAAGGTTACAGGCTGTTTTGTTTGCTTTTTGTTGTTAATCCTCACGGGAGGATATCTTTTCCATTGAGGAAGTGAGGGATCGGGAGAGACATCCACGTGAGAGACACAGGGACAGCCTGTCCCCCAATCGAACCTGCAACCCAGGTACCTGCCCTTGACGGGGAATTGAACCCACAACCCTTTGGTCAGCGGGGCCGACGCTCTAACCACTGAACTGCACCAGCCAGGTACATTTTGCTTTGTTTATTTTCAAAGAACCAATCACAAGAAGACAAAGAATGCTGAGTTGTCAGATTTTGCTACACCCAGATGAGGGCGTGCACGCACGGAGTGAACTCGCGGCCCTCTCCTGATGACTGGTGCGGGGAGTGGTTTCCTTTGCCCCAGGTGTTGCCTTGTGATCTCTGCTTGTGCCAGTCTCTCTAGCTTCGCAGAAATCTCTCCGAACTGAAGGCCAAATTCTGTTGGTTCAAGTCCCTCCAGGCTTGGCACGTAGCCAAGCGCTCAGTTCCTTTACAGATTTACCTACAGCGCCCCAGAAATGCAAGGTCCAGCCACTGTGCTAGGAATTAGGGCGGCGGAAAGCGCGCACCCCAGGTGGTGCTGCAGCTGTAGCCACAAGCCTCCTCTCCCTGAATTTCCTCCGCTGAGGACTCCGGGGAACGTGTCTTGCGGAAGGGAGGTGAGAGGCGTCCCTGGGTGCAGTGGCCGGAGCTTGGGAGGCTTCAGCGGGGTGGCCGTTTGCTCCCTCTCTGCTTCGCTGGGACGGAGAGACCAGCAGGACTTTGGAACCTTCCCGGAGGTGTTGCAGTAAGAGGGTGCAGGGTCAACGCTTGGCGCCTCCAGGCATCCAGGCAGCGGGTGCCCGAGCGGCCCCCACAGCCTCGGGGGTGGGCCCTGAATCGCCGGGTGCCGGGGCGTCACGGGCGCCCGCTCCTGATTGGCCGCCGCCACGGTCACGGGCCGGGCGCTCGGAGATTGGCAGAGCCAGAGGCCGGAGCCGGAGTAGCGGGACCCGGGCCGACCGATCGCAGTCCCCGAACCGAGGGGCTGGCGTGGACACCAAATCCAAAGCCCACGTTGGGAGTCTGGCCGGGAAGCGCGCACCATGCCCTACGTGCTCATCAGCACCCAGATCCGCATGGTGAGTACCCGCCTGGCCAGTGGCGTGGCGGCCGCCGGGCCTCCGGGACTGCGGCCGCACTTGGGCGCCTCCCTCTTGGGCAGCTTCCGCGGTGCAGGGCCGGAAAGTGCCGGACACACCCCCTCGGCCTCGGGGAGGGAGGCTGGGGATCCGACTCTGCCCAGATCGCGAACTCGTGGCTCTGGCCGGCCTGGCGCCTCCGGGGCGCGAAGGAGGCCAGGTGCGTGCGTCCCCGCGACCCAGCGAGCATGGGCTTTGCGGCTGCTCCCGCCTGTCCACACGAAACCCTGGCCTCACACGTGCAACACCCACTGCCCTACACGGAGCCGCTCCGCAGGGGGTTGGGGGGCGGGGGCGTAGTAACCTGAGGAAGAGAGGTTTGGAAAAGGACGTGCTAAGATGCTGAAACACCTATGCCCAGTGCCTGACCCACCCACAGCCGCTAGCTGCACCCTTAAGCACTTCCAGGAAGAGTTGTCCCTAAAGCCTTAGGAAAGGAAAAGAAAAAAACAAAACTCTTCCTGCTCAAGAAGGAAGGGGCGCTCTAGCCAGTTTGGCTCAATGGATAGAGCGTTGGCCTGCGGACTGAAGGGTCCTGGGTTCATTCAGGTCAGGGGCACATACCTCGCTGCAGGCTCCTCCCCAGCCCCAGCCCTGGTCTGGGCGTGTGCAGGAGGCAACCAATCCACGTGTTTCTCTCACATCGGTATTTCTGTCTTTCCCTCTCTCTTCCACTCTCTCTAAAAATCAATGGAAAAATATCCTCAGGTAAGGATATTAAAAAAAAACAAACAAAAAAACAAAAAGAAAAAGAAGAAAGGGGAGAACACCATTCAGGAGTCAAGTCACTCTCCTCTGGACGCAGTTTCCTGTCTAAGAAGGTGCTGGCTGCCCCGGGGCCCCTTTTTAGCTTCAGAATGATAGGACTGGGTCCCGGCTGGGCAGCAGGATGCTCCTCTGCCTCTTCTCACTCCCCAGGGCTGTGCCCCATCGGGTGAGCAGCTCCCTGGGTGTGAGGGAAACTGGCGGCCACCACAGGACAGGTCCTGGCCGTGCCCAGGGCAGTGGTCTGAGGACCAGTCACTTGCGCAGTTGTTATGTGGGCTCCTGGGCCCCTTCCCAGACCTCTCAACACACTCTAAGCCAGGGCATGGGAATTCAGTGCTCGTCAGGTGATTTTTAAAAATAGGTCAGCTTTATTGCTATATAATACACAAACCACAGAATTCACCAATTTAATGTGTACAATTCAACAGTTTTTTTTTTAGCATATTCAAAACCATCATCCTAATCAATTTTAGAACATTCCCATCACCTTAGCAGTCACTTCTCATCACCGCCCGCCCCCAGGCCCCCAGCCCCAGGTAACCACTAATCTACTTTCTGTCCTAATAATGTGGTCTTGTATCTGGCGTCTTTCACTTACGTAAGGTTTTCAAGGTTCACCTATATTGCAGTATGCATCAGTGCTCATTCCTTTTTATTGCAAATAAGATTCCATCATATGGATATGCCACATTTTATCTACCCATCAGCAGCTGAAAAACATTTAGGCTGTTTCCATTTTTGATGATTATGAATAATACTGCTACCGACATTGCCGTTCAAGATTGTATGTGGACAGGCTTTCATTTCTCTGCTCTCCAGCTGACTGTGACACACACCAAACATGGTGGTGGGTGGTGCCCAGCACGTAGGTGCCAGCTCAGACACTGCCCAGCTCCTCTTGGAGGCGAGAGAAGCCTCACACTGTCTGGTTGGGTCACTGACTGGCCTCACCTTTTCCAGAGTGTTCTCAGCCCTCAAGGTCGCTCACCAACCCTCCAACCTTTATCTAAGCTGGCTCAGGACCAGCAGGCAGGGAGGAAGGAGCGGCAAGACCGGCTACCTCTACCTGGCAGCCAGCCAAGCATCACGGTGGCTTACCTTGCAGGAGGTGGGTCCCACCATGGTGGGCGACGAGTACTCCGACCCAGAGCTGATGGAGCATTTGGGGGCCTCAAAAAGAGGCGTCCTGGGAAACAACTTGTAAGTAGTTGCATTCGTAAGTATCTTTTCCCCTGGACCCGTCCGTCCCGTCACACACCACCAAGACGAGGGACCATGCCACTGCCCAACCTCAGACCTCCTGCCTGCCTCCTGGGCGCTGTCCTCTTACAGGGCCAGTCCGTCTGCAGCCTCACAGCCCCCCAGGCTTGCTCTGAGGCTCTCCCACTGCCCTCCCTTCATAAGGGAGCTCACAGACAAAGTCAAGTCCCAGGACAAAGTCCCAGGACAGAGTCCAGTCCTAGAGATAGGACTATGGACGTGAACTATTCCTTGCTCTGCCCCTATCTCCAAGATGGACCTTACCGTGGCAAAGACAGGCACAGAGAAAAGGTTTCTGTCTTGAAGAGCTGGCTGGTTAACAAAGCTAAGCCCTAAAGCAGGGAGCGGGCAGCCTGGGCCCTACTTGCAGCTCAGCCAGCAGCCTGCGTACTCGGCCACCTCTTTTCTTCACACTAGTTCTGAGCTTGAACACTGAGTGCTGCTTCCTTTTCTGCCCCTCCCCATTCATGCCCCATAGGCAGGGAGAACCTGCGCCACAGGCGGGACTCCTTAGAAGGGTCCCCAGAATGAGCCCCATTCAAAGGGGGCAGCAAAGGGGAGGCGAGCTGGTGTCAGCCCCTTGGGTCAGGGTGGGAGGGCGGAAGCCAACCCCATCCATTTGCCATGAGCACTGATCTGGAGATGCCCAGCTTGGAGCTCGTGCCCTTTACCTATGTGATGGCCCTTTAGAATCAGTTCACCCTGAAAGCACATTCTCTGTGCTAGGGAGAGGCACCCAGAGTCAGGAACTATTGGGGGTCAAGCCATGGCCCCAGGACTGTAGGACAGGCTAGGCAGGAGGAGGGGCAGGAGGTTGGTGAGGACCCTGGGGAGCAGCCATTCTTCCTGAACAGTGCAGCAGCCCAGGGCACGTGGGCTGTCAGCCCAGTCTTATGACACTGGGAAAGCCACTTAAGCCCTCTGTTTTCTCATTTACAAAATGGAAACAATAACGGTGCCTTCCTCACGTTGTTGGAGGAATAAAGGAGCTAATGGTCAGCAGGGGAGGGTCAGGGAACGTGCACCTAGCCCGGCACCTGGAAGACACCCCCAGTATCAGTCACTGTCACAGGCATTCCCGACCAGGTGTGGCCTTCAGCAGGTACTGGCTTTGTAGGGGACACTTGCACTGTGACCCCCTCACGCTGCCCCTCTCCATCTGTTCGCAGCTACGAGTACTACGTCAGTGACCCTCCTCGAATAGTCCTGGACAAGCTGGAACGCAGGGGCTTCCGTGTGCTGAGCATGACAGGGGTGGGCCAGACGCTGGTGTGGTGCCTGCACAAGGAGTGACCCTCCCTGTGAGGCGCGGACAGGGCACCCCTTCTCTGAGTGGTTGCCTATGGGTCCCGATCCCAAGCCCCGCCTCACTCACTCCCCTGCCCCTCTTCCCAAATTGTCATTTCCCTTGGACCAGCACCACTGGGCAGTGAATGGCCTCTGAAACCTGCTTCCAGCTGCCCCTCCACCTTCCAGCTGGTGAGGGTTCCGGAGGAGTCCATGTTCATGGGCAGGCTGAGGGGCTGGCAAGAGCCAGGCTGCCTTTGTCAGGAGCACTGGCCCTGGGACTGGGGGGTGGGTCCTGTGCAGCTAGTCTAAGCCAATAAAGGGCTGTGATGATTGGTTGATTCTAAGCTCTGTGCGTGCAGGGACTCTCAGCAAGTGGAGCACCTCCCTGGGGTCTGTCCACTGCCAAGGGGGAGAGCCAGCCTGGGCGGAGCCTCTGAGGCAGAGCCCAGGACCCAGGGCCACACTGGACAGGCCAGCTTCCTACGCCTATATATGCAACAGAGGTAGACTTAAAAAAAAAAGTTTATTAGTGAAAGGGGCTGGGGGTGGTGGGCTGGATGCTACGTCAGCTGCCCCACCTGGTCCTCCTGCTGCATCTGGGCGATCAGCTGCTGCCGCTCAGCTGCTTGGCGCAGGCGCATCATGACGAGGCTTTCGTAGTCCCTCTCGGACACCACTGAGCCCTGGGGGACAGAGGAGGGAGGAGGGCAGGGCCTGGGCAGAGCTAGTCAAGAGTCGAGAAGAACGGTGCCCAGGAGGAGAAGGACCGGGGAGCACCTGCAAGCCCAGTTCATCATGTTCCTTCGGAGCAAGCAGACCCTGGGCCTCCGGACCAGCTTCCCAACCATCCCAACCAGCACCTCCCCGCCCTCTCAGTCAGCACTGGCTCAGCTTTCCCTTCGTTTCCTCTCAGCCTCTCCCCCAGCTTCTGCTCCTCACAGGTTTCCAGGGAAGGGGAGTTGTCAGAGGTTTAGAAACCCGCTCTGCTCTGCCAGGTGGAGGCGGGAGCACTGCGCCCTCCCAGCTGTCCATCTGCCCTGTGGACCGGCTCCTGCTGAGGTCACAGGAGAAGGAAGCCCTGCCCCAGACACAGCCTCAGTCCACCTCAGCCTAAAAGAGAGAAACAAGCCTGAAGCTGGCCTGCCTCCTGAAAACACACACCAGGGCTCCTGGAGGGCAGGGCCTGGAGCTCTTTCTCGTATGATCTTGCCAGCAGAGTGCGGGGAGGAAAGACTGCTATATTTTAATAATCAAAAGGATAATAAACAACCACCTCAATGGGCCAAGGCTGTGGGGTGGAGAGGCGGCTCCACAGTGCCAGGAGCCGAGCTGCCAGCCCCACGCCCTGATAAGGGCTGCAGTGGGAATTAAATCACTTCCTCCTTCGGGGCAGCTGAACCGCGTGAAGTGTGAGGCCCACCTGAGTTGGCACAGAAGCAAGGCCAGGGTGCGGCAGGCAAAGGTGCGGCGCCCTGTTCTGTGGTATGCCAACCTGCTGCACGCTCATGGAGTAAGTCAGGGGGCAAGTTTGGTGGTCAGTGACCCAGGGAATAAGAAGGAAGTGGCTGGGGTTAAGATGCCAGACCCTGGCCAACAGGTTTGTAGTAGGGGTGAGGGGAGGGGGGGTACGGAACAAGGAAGTGTTATTCAGCCCAGATCCCCCTGCGCCTCCCCCAGCCCCACGCCTCTCTTCCTCTCTCCTGGGCTGCAGAAGCTCTGAGCAGAGTTGCCCTCCCAGCCAGGCCCACTTATCTCAGCTTGGCCAGAGCTCTGCCACAATCCAGGGCAGTCTCATGTGACCCAGCCCCCGCCACAGAGGAGGGGCCTCAGGTGAGGCCCAGGCAGCCCAGGAAGGGCTGGAGCACAGGGTGGAAGGCAGAGGACCTGCCCCTCAGCTGCTCTCTCCTGCCCTGAGGCCGCCTGGTAAACCCATGAAGGATGAGGAAATAGAGCAGCTAGACTGGGTGTCAGGCCAAAGGGAGGGCAATTCTCCCCTCCCCAAGGAAGTACTGCTCTGCTGAGAAAACTCGAGTCACCCTGGCATGCCCCGAGCCCAGCCCTGGAAGCAGCCAGCCCTTTATTGGCATGGGACTGCTCCCTGTTAACACACCCTCTGCCTCCTTCCCCCATACCTGTGGGCTCTAATGAGCGCCTGTCGGCAGGCCCTGGGCTGAGTCACCCACACTAGCAACAGGTCTCTTCTTCCTCCACAATCGCGCCCCACGCCTGCATTCAGTTAACCAGCACCTCCCCGGGCGCCTCTCCCCCAGACACACTGGGGGCCGGGGAGCGACGCCTGCTGCTCCGGCCCAGGGTGGTGGGGAGGAGACGGTGTGCTGACACACAAGGCAGGGCTGCCCGCAGACAAGTCCCCAGAGGAATCTTTGGCTCCCCAGTGGCCCTGGGGTGTTGGCCACGGCTGCCCCAACTCCTGCATGCGGATGCTGCAATTACCTGAGCACGAAACCCGGCTTCCCACCTGACTGAGTCAGCTGAGAACAACAACACACCTCCACGCCACACCGCCACACCAGCACAGCCAGCAGGGCACGCATCAGAGTCGGGGAGCCACGGGGGACAGAGGCAGGGCCACGGCCAGAGGGTGAGCTGGGGCCGCGAGGGGCTGGGGCAGAGGCCGCTCCTACCACCTGAGAAGATTCATCCCTCACCCCCTGGTGCTCCTCTCTCCGCTCCAGTAAGTGCTGCTTCTTCCTCTTGGGGTTTTTCCACTGCCCTATCGAGTAACCGGGCCACTCCTGTGCCTCTGGACAACTCCCGTGCCAGCAACTCTCGGCCCTCTGCTAGCCTCTTCCTGGGACATCGTCTCACCCCCAGGTGCTGGCCTGAGGTCTGTGCTGAGCAGAAAGCTGGAGGCCTCTGCGAGGAGCCCACGGGGGCTGTCTCCCATTTCGTGTCGTTCACTGCCCCGGCAGAGACCAAGTGGTCCCTCGCCACCGCGGAACTGGACTTCTAAGGTGTGCTGGCTCCCTGTCCCATGGAGACCTGGCGGAAAGGCTCCTTCCGCAATGCCTCCTTCTTCAAGCGGCTGAGCCTGAGGCGGCCTCGAGGACTCCGGCGACAGGGCAGCATGCTGAGCCAGGCCAGCATGGCTGAGGGGGACCATGAGGAGTACAGCAACAGAGAGGTCGTCCGGGAGCTGAGAGGGAGGCCGGATGGCCGGCGCCTGCCACTGTGGGGGGACGAGCAGCCCCGGACCACCCTTCTGGCCCCACCCAAGCCCCCTCGCCTCTACCGAGAGAGCTCCAGCTGCCCCAACATCCTGGAGCCTTCACCTGCCTACACTGCTGCCTACTCGGCTACCCTGCCCTCGGCGCTCTCCCTGGCAGACGCCCTCCACGAATACTCCGAGGAGGACCTTGTGGACACGCCCCCCTTCCAGAAGACACCTGCTCCGGACCTTAATGATCCCTTCTTCTCCTTCAAAGTGGACCTGGGGATTTCACTTCTTGAGGAAGTTCTACAGATGCTGAGGGAGCAATTTCCCAGTGAGCCCGGCTTCTGAATGGGGTGAGGGTGGGCAGAGGTGTGGTAACTGGAAGAGACGAAAGCCTGGGGACCCAGGACAGGAAGGTAGAGTTGTGGATTAAGAAAAGGTGCGGGTGGGAATCCAGGGCCCTGCCTGCCCTCTGGGTCCTCAACAGTCCTCCAGGTCCCCCGAGGGGAGGGACAGAGGTGTGGAGAAGCCGGAAATGTGAGGGGCACTTGCTGTCAAGAGCTCTGAAGGCAGCAGCGAGGCTGGGAAAGGGGCCACCCGGGCAACTCCAGGGACCAGGCAGAGGCCAGCGGAAGGGGTGGGTGGCATAAGGGGCGAGTCAGGGAGTGGAGGACACACAGACTGGACAGATCAGCCCCCGCTGAAGCTACTCTCCACAGCGAGAGGTTACAGGACAGGTCTGGGCAAAAGTGGTCCAAACCAGACCTAAGGGGAAAGTGGGAAGACCTGAGGGAAGAGGGATGGGACAGGCTTGACTCTGTCCAGTGTAGTAGCCACTAGCTACACGTGGCTGTTTACATTTAAATAACTGAAACGAAGTAAAATTAAAAATTTAGTTCCTCAGCTGCACTAGCTGCATTTCAAATGCTCAATCGCCACACATGAGCAACGGCTACCACACTGGGCAGTGGAGGGTGAACTTTATTAACATCACTGGGGAAAGGCCGACTGGGTAGTTAATAGGACCACAGTGCCCCGAGACCGTGGCCTTGAGGCAGCAGTGGCACGGGGGAGGGGGCACAGGGGCCTGCACGGAAGGGAGGGGCTGGCAGAGGAGAAGAGGGAGGCTCAGAACACACACATCCTTAGCAGGAGAGGGGGCATGAGAGACTCCAGCTGCCCACACAGCTGCCTGGAGCAGCCCCCGGGGCCTGAGGAAGGTGGGTCCAGGGACTGCCAGCTGAAGGCACAGACACAGCTTGAGGGCGATGTGGGCAGTTCCCAGAACCATTGCTGATGGGAGCCCTGGGGAATGCAGCAGCAATAGTGGCAGATTTCCCTTCATCCTTCCCCCAACGAGGACACAGGAGGACCAACCAGGGGACGGACAGGGAACTCGTGGCTGTTACCATGCAGAGGCACAGCTTGTCTCCAGAGTCCTCCACCAGGACGGGAGCTCGGCCTAAACCCTCACCCATGGGGCCTGCCACCCGGGGCCAAGCCCACTGCTTACGGCCACATGCTGTGCTATTGCCCCACACTGTGGCTTGGCCAGAGGACTTGAAACTAGAGCTCAGGTTGGCTGGGCCATGTGGTTCTGAGATTCCAGGCGTGAAGAGAGAGGGAAGCTCGACACACACTGCTTCCACCACCCAAACTGTGGCCTCCATCTCCCCTCCTCCTGTGGATGTGCCCAGAGGAGGCTCCTCCCCGGATGCAGGAGACAGTAAATAAAGTTTTATATCACAGCCTGTGCAATGTCATCTGGGCTGTGAAATGCTGGGACTTCACGGTGAGGGAACGCGCTCTCTAAAGAAGGGTCTTAGGTTGGACAGTTCCTTTTCCTCCTCAGTCCATGGTCTGGGACACCTCCCAGAGCTCTGGTTCTCATGGCCAGGTGGGGGGCAAGTAGGAAAGCAGGGGTGGAGGGACAGCCCAGGGGCCTTGCTGACCCACCGAGGGGCATGCTCCCCTCAGAGGGACTGTGACATCAGTCTGAGGCTCCCACAGACCACAGGCAGTTCCAGAGAAGGAAGAGCTCTTGGCCTAAAAGCTCTGTCCCCCCAAAGCGAGGGCAGGTGTGCGTGTGTGTGCGTGTGCTCCTAAACAGAAGCCTTCATGGAACAGTGAGGACCAGCAGCTGGTGTGGAGAACACACCAGCTGCAGCCTGCTTCCTCATGAGCCGACCAGGCAGCGAGCGCCCAGTGTCAGCGGGGTCGCTAGTGCTATTTCTGAGGAGGAGACAGCACCTCTTGACAGCAGGTCCTGCCTGGGGCAGCTGCAGACACACCTGGAGAAGGAGTTGGGGACGGAAGTGGAAGCAGCTGCCCTCGTCCTCTACCCCTTCCTTGCAGCACCGGGTTGTCCAAGAGCCAAACGCTTCACATCAAAACCAGGCAGCCTGCGGGCCAGGGGACCCCTCTGGGTGATGATGGTCTCCAGGAGGAGCCCGGGATGTGGGGGGAAAATAAGGTCTAAGAATCTTTGTAGGGTGGGCCGCTGGCACCCAGAGGAAAAGGGGTCAGCATGAAGTCACAGGCCCCCTGCTCCGGGTGGCGGGCCTGCCAATCTCACTCCATCAGGATGAGCTGCATTTGCCAGCAAAGAGCCCTGAGAAGAGCCCAAACAGGAAAGATTCTCCAAACCCTGGGCAGGCCCCTGTGTGAGGCCTGGCTCCTTACCTGTGACAGTCCAGGGTGGCTGGGGCCGTCCTTGCCCTGGGGCCGTCCCTCCAACCAGGAAATCTTCAGAGGATTATCAACCAGGCCCACTTCATTCTGGACAGCCAGCTCCTGCAAAACACAGCCTCCAGTTAGTCCTATCACTCTGAAAATCAGCTATGGAGTGGCTCTCTCTACTCCCGTGGTCGGCAAACTGCGGCTCGCGAGCCACATGCGGCTCTTTGGCCCCTTGAGTGTGGCTCTTCCTAAGCCTTAGGAGTACCCTAATTAAGTTAATAACAATGTACCTACCTATATAGTTTAAGTTTAAAAAATTTGGCTCTCAAAAGAAATTTCAATCGTTGTACTGTTGACATTTGGCTCTGTTGACTAATGAGTTTGCCAACCACTGCTCTATCCCCACAGAAAGTACCAGAACCAGCAAACTCACCCTCCAAGCAAGACTGAGCAACCTTCCCATGATGGTGTGCCGAGTGGGGTAGTTGGAGAACGGGGAAAGGCAGGGTGGGGCCCCAAACTGGAGGCGCGCCAGTTCCCATGGCAGAGTGGAGGGGTGGAGCCAGCAGCAGGAAATGCCGTTGGTCCACGCTGTCCTTTACCCCAGAGCATTCTCCCGCCCATCCCTTCCTTCACTGTGCCTGTACTGCTCCCGGATTCCAGAGTCAGGAGTCAAGCACCTGGGGGTTTGGGGGGGGGGGGGGTGTGGAGAAGGCCTTGGCTCTGAGCTGACCCAGAGATTTCCTGGGAGTGTGGATACCTAACCACAGGGTTCCCCCAGGACTGAGTCCCTCCCTGGAATGGCAGGGCCTCACGCAGCACTCACCGCAGCCTTGATGGTCGCAAACTCCACCACGGCGGTGCCTGCCTTCTTGCTGGAAAGTACCAGGTTGAGCACCTCTCCGTACTGTGGGGACAGGAAGGCCACTCAGGCAGAGGCAAGCCTGGCTGCCCGGAGGCCCCGGGCGTGTTCCGCCGGGGACAGCGTCTTGTTCCCAGTTCCCAGAAGGGAGAGCAGAGACAGAAGGAAAGGATTTTCCCAGGAATACAGGAGAGAAAGGAGAGTTGGACAAAGGCTGGGACTTGGACTGGCAGAGTGACACAGCTGCCTCGATGACTGAAGATGGTGAAGGGGCAAGGCTTTTGTGCCAGATGCCCACCGCCTCTCTGCCCACACACTCAGCCAAGCCCTCTGCTTCTCAGGATGACGGGCAGGGAGGGCGAGACAGGCTGGAGGGGAGAGGAGGGCTGTGGCCTGGAAGAAGCTAAGCTGCCCTAAGGTCCATGACAGAGAAAGAGGCAGGGAGGGCGGGTTAGGCATGGAGAGCCCGGCGTTTGGACGGAGATGATGGGACAGAGGGAAGTCAGCAGGGCAGACCTTCTGAAGAAGCTGCAGGAGGACATCTCTGGAGTAGCCGCCTTTTGACCCGTCCTCTCTGCACTTCCATTTTAGCTGGAAAGACAGCAGCGGGCGTCACCAGTGAATACCAGCCTTCGCCTGAACAACCCCAGACCCCACACCTGAGCTTTACGGTCTGAACAGACGCCCTCCACTAGCAATCTAGGGAGAACCCTCCAAAATGTGTCCCCCTTGAGAACGGACAAGCAGGGCGGCCTGCTCCCTGCAGCCATGTCCCCAGCCTGTGGGAGGCTCTCTTCGAGGGCCTCTGGGGAGTGCTGCCTGCAACAGTCAGGGCGAAGAGCAGCCTCCATGGCGAGCTCTACGGGGCTGTCCTCCCCGGGCAGTGGGAAGGCGGAAGGCTGTGCAGAGTGGTGCTGGCTCCCCGAGATCCAGTGTCCCCACCAGAACCCTTGAGCCACAGAAAGTACCTGTTCTTGCTGAGAGGAGGTAGCGTGAGGTGACCCATGGATCCCCCAGGGCTCACCTTTAGCTTGGGAGTTCCTTTGCCTTCAGGATTTTCTGCCTTTCCTAGAAAATTTGGGGAAATGAGAAAGTAGAGTATGAGGGAGAGAGAAGTTCTCCCAAAGGAGATGCAGCCCAGGCCCAGAAGGACCTAGAAAAGGTCACTCTGGCCAAGGGCAACAGCTGCCCCTGCTCGGGAGCCCCTGAAGCTACTACCCCAGGGGGTCTGCCTGCTGCCTGCTGAAGGGCACGGTGAGCACTCTGCCAGTGCAGGGCTGTGAACACCTGGGGGCAGGACGCAGGGGTACAGACCACACAGTTCTACTAAAACTAGAGCTTCTCTCCCGGTTACCTGCTCCAAAATAGAGCCAGCCCTACTTGGGACTAAGGTATATCAGGCCAGGAGACCTAGGGCAGAGTGAAAAGCAAGCAGGCCAGAGAATGGGTAGGAAAAAGGGACAGGGGGCATGTGTCCACGTGGGGTGCCCCTGGGACTGCAGCAGGTGAAAGTCTCCACAGAGAGCTGCCCAGAGCGGGAGGCGGGTGAGGGTGATGGACTCTCACCTCTCAACCTCTGCTCCCGTTCCTGGCGTATCTGCTCCTGCATCAGCCTCTGCTGTTTTTCCAGCTGGCGGGAACCTTCTTCTCGCAGGCGTTCGATCTGCAGAGCAGGGGGTTGGGAGGTGACAATTCTGTGCAGATCCCATTCCAGGTTGGCTCCCTCTGTAAAGGCCCCTGGGAGGCTCCACCTGTAAGCCAGGGCTCAGCAACCTGCAGGTGGGACAGGCTGCCCAGATCCCACAGAAGAAGGAGGGAAGGGCACGACCTCCCGCCACCACACCCAGCTAGGTCCGCCTTCCCCCAACTCCTGCAGACGGCCTCAGGCCCTCAGGCCCAGTCGCTCACCTCCTGCTCTAGTGTCCTGGTGCTCCGGCTCTCCTCCTCCTCCTCGTCCTGGGCCTGGGCCTGAGCCTGCCGCTCCCGGGCCTCCAGGTCTAGACACAAGGGTTGAATGACCCAATGGCTGGTCTAAGCAGTTTTTCCCGGCCTCAGCTCCCCCAGCTCTGGCTGCTTCCCCAGCCTCACACACTGTACGGATGAAACCGTACAGTGACTCTGCCCCCACCCTCCATGCCCATGTGCTCCCAAGTTTATTTCCATTGGGAAAAAGTCACAGCACAGAAGTACAGGCTCCAGATGAGTGGCCGGGGTCTGGAAGAGTTGAATCAGCTCGTACTGACCGAGCTGGCCGTCTGACCAGCGAACAGGGCGTGGGCAGGTGCTCATGTTGGCCACCCAGGCCATGTGCAGGGGTGCCAGGGGGAGGAGCCGTTGGCCCCTGTCCCTGTGGTTGGCACCACAGCCTGACTGTGCTCTTGCCTTGGCGTTGATGCCTTTCCCACCAAGGAGCTCAGGTTGTCACTGTCTCCTTCACCTCCCCTTCGACTCACATTTACCAAGCCTCACGCGACCTGGCCACCGCAGCTCCCACAGGGTGGCAGATTCTGTGAGGACAACACCGGGTCACAGAGCCCTTCCCGCCTTCCGAGGGAAAACTGCTTGTGGCCTGTTCCAGGAGAACTGCTGTGACAGACTCTTCTCTCGGGCTCGGGACTCAGTGCTTTCTTTCCCGTGCACTTTACTTACCTTCAATCTCCAGAATTTTTGTTTGTTTTTGATAGAGAGATGGATGTACAGGGATGGCATATGTACATATTAAATATATGGGTATCAAATAGGCAAGAAGATGGAGGGAAAATCGAGTGAAGAATGTATGGACCAATCTAATTGGGGTGATGAAATTGATTTACAGTCATAATCACACCATTTGGTAAATTTACTAAAAATCATTGAATTGTACACTGGAAATGGGTGGATATTATAATATGAAAAATATACCTCAATAAAGCCGTTTAAAAAAAATGCCTGGACCTCTTTGGATCCTTCTGAGGGGACTTCGCAGAGTGAAAGCTCTGTGCAGAAAGGAGGCTGGGAGGAGTAAAGGGCCCTGATGGCAAGGTGAACAAGAACGGATCTACGCGGACTGCGGGTTTAAAGCACAGCAACAGCCAGTTCTCATCTTTGTGGTGCCTTAGCTTCTTTGTCTACAAAAAATGGGTTTAGTAATACCCACCTCCTTTGAGCACTGTGACAGTTAAAAGAGACAGTAAGACGTCTGCCACAGTGCCTGGCTAGGAGTGACTCTAGTCACTGCTGTTATTCTGAGAGTCCTTTAGATCCACCCGAGGACAGGGTTCTTCCCAGAGCCGGGCCAAGGGGCTCTGAGCTGCCGGAACTGAATGAGCTCCAGGAAGAAAGGTGAGGTTGCTGCATGAAAATGGCCCAGGGAAACTGCAGGCCACCCCGCACCACCATCTCACCTACCAAGCTTCACTTTCTTCCTTCTCTCATCTAGTTTCTGGGTCCTCTCTGCTGCCTGCTTCTTGGCTTTCCTGATCTTGTCATACGCGGCCTGGCAGGAGAAAGGAACGCCGAGGAGCAGTCAGTCAGGGAACAAGCAGAGGGCCCAGCCACCTTCCCGGCCCCGCCGCCTCACCCCAGAGCCCTGGGGGGGGGGGGGGGGTCGCTAGGCTGGGGCAGCTGGGACTGTGCTCATGGCAGGTACAGAGGACCGAGGCTGAAGTGCCACGGTGGTCTCTAACCATGAAGACAATTCAGACAGAGGAGATGTCTTACCCTGGCGGCAGCGTCAGTCAGTACCTCCAAGGCCTGAGAAAGCTGGTGGAAGAGTTCAGCTAAACACAAAGATCAAACAACAGAGAGGAGAAAAATTAAATTAGACTTGGTGATGTTGTGCTCCCTCAGAAAAGCACCTCAAAGAAGCCACAGGCTGGCAGAAAAGCTGACAGCAGATGACAGACCAGCAAGGAAGCGTGTGTACATCAGCAATGGACCCGACACCCCTAACACGAGAAGCCGGCTGTGTGCGCCAGCATTCCACCGCACTCCCCCAGAGCACCGGTGGGAGACACCCCATGCCCAAGTGGCCTTGCCTTCTTCTCCCCACTCCCAGGAGAGACTCACCTGCTCTGGGATTATCCGGATTTTTGTCTGGATGGCAGGAGAGGGCCTTCTGCCTATATGCCTTCTTCACCTGGAAGAGTCAGAACACATGACCATTCACTCCTTCTCACCCACGGCACAGGAAAACCTTGCTAAAGCGATAAGGGAAAGCCCTGTAAGAGAGGCTGCTGGCTCCCACACGGAGACAGTAACTCACAGCCACCGAGGAGATCTGCAGTGGAGGAGGCAAAGGCCGTGAGGGAGCCCAGGCCCTCCTGAAGCAGAGGGGCTGGGCTTCCTTCCCGCCCAGCCTCCAATCTCATCCCTCCGGATGCCAAGGCTCCTGGCAGGGCAGGTCCTCTGCAGCCCCCTGGAAACAGGCATCTCACACCCGATGGGCATGAGAACTGGGGCAGCCTTTCTGGAGGGAGATTTTGCCATCAAAATTTAAGATATACGTTCCCTTTGACCCACTCCTAGGAATTTGGACTTGTAGAGGTATGCTAACATAAACATACAAGCATGCCCACTGCACCACTATTTATATTAGCCCCCAACTGGAACCAACCAAAACCTCCATCAACAAAGAGAGCCATTTAAAAACCTATGATAGAAACTAGTTGAAATCAGCTATTGAGTGTAATGTGGCAGTTGAAGCTCTATGCTACTCTTTTGTTTCCCTCCCCCATGAGGCTTTTATAAAGGTCATCTGGTTTGAGTTCAGTCCAATTTAAACTGATAGTCCATTACACTGATGGATCTTTCAGCAGAAAAAATCTGGTCACCAATTCATGTGGTGACAGACTTGACTGTTGAATTCAGGACAGTAAGTTCTTAGGCTTTGGCTGGCTCTAGCTTTATGTATAAGATGGATATAGACTGTATCTCTGTGATACCCAGAAAGGTCACATTTTTATTGCCTGAGAGACCTTTTGCTGGCACTGAATACTGTAAATCTAAGAGAAACAAGGAGTATATATCTGTTCCAGTGACCACCCCAAAATTCTGAAGCACCAAAGATAAGCTAAAATAAAACATCAAAATTCTTAAGAAAAAAATAAAATAAAATAAACTATGATAGATGGGAGCCTCTATGTGCTGACTAGAAAGATCTTCAAGCCCTTATCTCAAGGGGGGGTGGGGAGCCCTGGCCAGGTAGCTCCGTCAGTTGGAGCGTCGTCCTGTACACCAAAAGGTTGTGGGTTTGATTCCAGTCAGGGCACATACCTGGGTTGTGAGTTTGATCCCTAGAGCAGGTGCACATGGGAGACACCAATTGATGCTTCTCTCTCATATCGATGTTTCTCCCTCTCTCTCTCCCTTCCCTCTCTTTCTGAAAATCAAATGAGAATATGTCCTTCGATAAGGATTAACAAGAAAAAAAAAGATTCTGTAACTATATGTGGTAATCATTTCATGATACTATATACAAATATCGAATCATTTTGCTGTATACCTGAAATACAATGTTATATGTCAATTATACCTCAATTTAAAAAAAGAAAGATCTTCAAGATAAGGTGTGTGAAAAAAAGGCTTAGAACAGTTATACAATATGATCACTTTGGGGTTTAAAATAAACAATCAAAAAAATGAAATAAAAATAGTTCCAGATACTCTGGCATGTGCATAGCTTTTGTTTTCTTTTTTCCTCAAAGCAATCATAAGAACCATAAGAGCTGTTTCCTTTGGAGAGAAGCTAAAGATGGAGAGGAGGAAACATTTACATCTCATTTTATGCCATTCTGTAGTTCAAATTTTCAAACCTTAAACAAGTCTTACTTTACTATCATTTTTCATTGTCAACAGAGGTTATCTTGGTGGGGAGGTTATGGCCCAATTTTAGTTTTTATCTCCGCATATCTCTGATTTGAAAAGAAGAAAAGTAGTATTTTTTCTACTTTTAGTAAAAGTAAACAGCTGCCAAGGTTCTCTTTCATCTATTACCCACTCGGTTGTCTTAAGGGAAGGCAGAGCACAAAGTCCCAGATTCTGCCCTCTGCTTCCTGAGGGCTTGCCCACTTCTGCCTACATACCTTACCTGCGGCTCAAACCTCCTGGGAGGAGGAGCCTCTGGACCTAGAACTTCCACATCTCAGAGGGAACCAATAAATACTTCTACCCTAAGTGTGCTAAATGAGGACCTTCAGGCAAGTTGCCAGAGGCCCTAGGGGCGGGCCTGTAGACAGTGCCTCATTCCACGCCCACATCTACTGCTAAGAAAGGCTGCAGCTGCCTAGACCTCTGGGCTGTGCTGCCCCCTGGTGGGCTATTGCCAGCACCACACCTTCACCTGCCAGGGTAACCTGGCCCATCTGATCTGGCTCTCCTGGCTGAGCAGGAGGCAGGAGGAACCACTCAGGACAGGTTGTGAGCAGCAAAAGTATAGACATGCCTCCCTGCCCTCCCACCTTCCCAACTGCACCCTATGCTCACCTGGCCCACTTGTTCCCCTCCCCACCCCAACAGAGGTCTTCACCATTAACCCCTAGAGTGCCGGGGAGCGCAATCGCACTCCTCCTGTCTTTCGCCAAAAGTGCTGGGAG